GAGTCCCTGGAAAGAGTAAACATAGAACTGGCCAGGGATTACCACAAAGGGGTATTAGAGGGAATTTAAACTGTGGAATCTTTGAGGAGCTGCATTGGAAACAGAGAGGGATATCAATCAGATACCTATGCACTTGTAGTCTTAGTGACCTGAAAATATTAGGACCACTGCACTCACCTCTTTATCTTTATATATTACATAAATTATATAAAATGTATACTGTATACACTTCCTTATTACAAATCTCTCTCTCTCTTAAACGCACACGCACACACACACACACACACATATCCTCTATACTTTTATTTGATCAACCAGAAGAGACAAGCTTGGATGCTCAGTTTCCTAGTGAGCACAAATACTCCTTAGGGAAAGATGTTTGAAGCTAGATGGTTGCAGCCAAACTCAGTACAATTGACTAACATCCCAAGAGGGGTGTGTGAGATAGGTTTCATCTGTATAACAGGCTCTTGGCGCAGTGTTCATATAGTAGAGAGTGAGCAGAGACTAGTAACACGAGACTCACAATCTTCTGAGGATGCTTTCCGGACTCATTTCTGCATTCCTGGAGTCATGTGAGTTTGGGCTGCAGGAAGTCTCTGGAAAAGGCATTTCTTAGCTTCTAAGAGAAGTTATCTGTGCAAATAGGGGTGGGAAGTTTACTTTAAAATTGGGAGGATGAGGCTTAGAGGCTAAGAAATGGAATTTCACTACATAAATCTCTGAGTGGTCTGCTTTGGAATTTTAGTTAGCATGGCCTCCAACAGAGGAGTTTTAGTTTGTCATTGGGCTGAGTAGTTGAAAAGAGGATCAGAATAAGGAGCTACCAGCAAATGAAAAAACAAGTGACAAGTCAACCAGACCAGGGAAATGAGAGGTACCATAAAGAAATTTTGAGGCATTTATTGTGATCTTCCTGAAGTTACTAACAACAAATACATATTCACCAAGCATCTAAGAGAAATTCATGTGCCTACCAAGATAGATAGACTCTGCAGAGACTAGTAATGGAAAATTGGGTAGGGGGAATCAGCAGAACCTTAATGCTTACCTTAAGCTTTTTCACAGTCCAGGGTTCTCCCAATGGGTAGAGGTAGCCCAAGCTCAAGCGTGCTTTTGTGCAGAAAGTGACAGCCTTTGATTTTTGGTGCAAGGTCAGGAAACAAAAATTCTTCTCCATCCCCAGTCCTTCAGTAAATTGTGGTGCTGGAACTTTCATCATTCTGAGGGTATTGGTTTTAATATCCCAATAAAAATCAGTTAGACATTGAGTCAAAGGGACAGATTCAAATAGAAGTTTGAATGACAATGGTTACAACTATTTTTTGAATTACTGTTTTTATATAATGAATGGTGTGAAATGGCAGATTCATTCCTGTAGTGGGGTGGGATGGTGGTTGGCATGAGCAAGAGGATAAGAGTGCATGGCCATATGAAGGAGGCTGGTGGTATGTACAGTTTAAGGTTGCTTAGGAAGAAAAGACTAGAAACTGGAAGTAATCTTCACTTTAAAAATTAGAGGCTAAAATAACCAAGTAATATGTGGTAATTTGTGCCCAATCCAGCTCACAAAGGAAAAGAAGCCTTAAAGCATAGAGTCAGAGTCCTGAAGAGCAAAGCCTTACCTCAAAGAGAATCAACAAATTAAACCTTCTGGCCATAGGTGAGTGAATTTGTTAGAAGACTGAAAAGTGTAGGCAGGTCTGGCATAAATTTAAGATGGTGGGAGTGAGGGGGAGGATGGAGTGGTTAAGTGAAAGAGACTTCTCTGCTTTTGCATTCTGATTCCAGCTTCATTGTCTGTGTCGAGCCACTCAACTGAACAATAATCCACATTGGCTGAGTGAGCAAACAAAGGTCATAAAAACCAGAGCCGGGTACACCTACTTTGGTTGACAGCATCCGGGAAAGCTGCTTTCAGATCTCCAAATGATGTGATCCTGAGGACATACAGAAAAAAATATATATAAAGAACATTCATTTTATCAGCAAGTTGGTCCTGCAGTGGAACAAATTACATTGAGTGGAAACTAGTTACTCGGAATATAGATGCTTAAACTAAGATTAGATTCTAACTGGTTAAGCAAATTGCAGCGATAATTCTGTACAAGACATTCTACTGAAATGATGATAATTATAACAGTAAATGACACTTATTGAGTTTCTTCTATGGACTGCAAACTGTACTAGGTACTCAAACCTGGAAAAGTATTATTTCCATTTTACAGATCAAGAAATTTTAGGATTCTAGAAGAAAATTAATCAAGGTAACACTTCCACCAAGAAGTAAACCCAAAGATTTCCCCAATATTTGGTTCTAATAACTACAATTGTTTTATCACTACATCTTGATTTTCTAAAAGTGTCTGAACTTAACTATCTCTAACAAACCCTACTTCATCAAAGAATATGTGAAGGCAAGCATAACATTTTGAAAATACTGGTCCTTGAATATTAGGTGGAAGTCTAGAAATCTCAAATCACATCAATAATGGTCATGATTAAATTCCCTAAGTCTTGTCCAAATTCAAATTTTCATTAAAATTTCATGTGGTTATTCTTACAAGAGATAGTATTCCAGGTAAATTGATCGAAATCTTATATTTTTGTTGTCTCTGTCCTTCCATACGTAAGCTAACAAAGCAATGTGTCTAAAGAGACCCTTCATATACACCCCTTGGTACAAGCCACATTTATCCCTCTCTTCTCTAGTGATCATGAGGTTTATTGAGATTGAGCTGTGATTAGAATAACACTTTGAACTAAGCTCCTCTCTTTTTATTAGTTCCTATGTTGGAGAATATAATAATTGATTTTGGTAGCAAACATTTCTGGGCTGTCTAGTGTTGTTTAAGGAGCTCTGGTGGTTCTATAGTAAAGGCATTGGGCTGCTAACCAAAAGGTTGGTGGTTTGAACCCACCAGCTGCTCTGCAGGAAAAAGACAAGTCATTATGCTTCTGTAAATGTTTACATCTTAGGCAACCCTGTGGAGGGTCACTATAAGTCAGAATCAATTCAATGGCAGTGAGTTTGGTTTGAGTTTAATGCTGTTTAGTCTCTAAGCACATCTCCATTTACCATAGTAGCTAAAGCACTTGACTGCTAACCAGAAGGCTGGTGGTTCAAACCCACCAGCCACTTCTCGGAAGGAAGGTTGGGCAATCCTACTTCCGTAGTGATACTGCCTCGGAAACACAAGGAGGGGTCACTATGAGTCGGGGCCAACTCGACAGCACACAACAACAACAACAACATTAGAAAGAAGGAACTTCTCTGTGGTCCAAAAATGGAGGGACCTGTTCTCTATTCTCTTTTCCCCTAGTGACTATAGGCACAGTATCTGGTCTGCTAGGGAACAGGAGCGTTTCTCTCTCTTCCCAAATGACATACACACATGTAGAGTGAGAAAGAGTTGTGATAAGGAGTTGGTTCTTCTTTAATAACTACTCTCTACTTTCTGCACTTCCAGGAATGAGGCCCTTTTGCACTACTCACTGCACCTAGAATAGGGCTAGTTACAAAGGAGGTGCACATTAAATATGGTTGAATAAATGGATATGAACTTTTCAGCAGTGAAGTTGTCAGTCTCATTATGAAAACTTCCAACCAAAGTTATTTTTCAGCTTTTATTCTATCCCATCATGGTTCACATGGTCTGCACAATTCCTTTTTCTTTAAATACTTAATTTAAATACTTTGTTGTGGCCTGTGTCCCTTTAAGGACTGGAAGTATGAGAAAGGAGGGATAAATGAGAGGGTAGAATAATGATCTCTGCACAAATGATTCATCACTATCAGGAATAAATCAAGGTAGTCCTATAAAATCACTTTTTGATGTTATGGAAGTGTAAGATGAGAAGGAGTTGATGTATCTTTTCTTTGAAATCATCAAGCACAAAAGATAGGAAGTGAATGAACAATTGATCCAGGAGTGGATTGAGAAAGGATGGAATTTTCCATTTCAGGGACAGAACGAAGTCTAAAAAGGAGAAACCAACATCTTGAGGAAAGGTAACTGGGTGTGTGAGAGTGAAACACATCTTATGCAGTTTTGGATGAAGGTTGACCAAGGATATGTGAAAATATCTGTCGATTAGTAAAAGGGATAGAAGCTACTAGGGTAGTATTTAGTCAGAAATAATTACCAAGCCCTGAGCCCCAAACAAGAACCCATTTTAAGTGGAAAGATTGTTGTTAGGTGCCATTAAGTCAGCTCTGACTCATAGTGACCCTAGGATGAAACACTGCCTGGTCTTGTGCCAGCCTCACAATCCTTGCTGCAGTGATTGTGTCAATCCATCTCATTAAGGGTCTTCACCTTTTTTGCTGACCCTCCACTTTACCAAGCATGATATCCTTCTCCAGGGAAAGGTTCCCTCTGACAACATGACCAAAGTTCAGGTATTTTCCTGGAAAAAAAAAAAAAAAAAAGAATGAGATTGATCCTTTCCATTGAGGACAATAGGCCTTAGCTAGGAGACAATTCTAGCTTTTTGAAATGATTATTTGCACACGTCCTCACATTTATTTAATTTATTAACCAAACATCTGTGTCAGGTATTATATAAAACATTTCACAAATATTAATCCATTTGGTCCTTTTAACAACTGCAGGGGATTGTTGTTGGGTGCTGTAGAGTGTATTCTGACTAATAGGGACCCCATGTGACAGAGTAAAACTGACTCATAGGGTTTTCTTGGCTGTAGTCTTTTCAACACAGATTGACAGGTTTTTCTTCTGTGGAATCACTGTTTGGATTTGAACTGCCAACTTTTCAGTTATCAGCCAAGTGCTTAATCATTTGCACCACTGGACTCCTTACTCTAGGGGATAGACATCATCATTATTTCTACTTTATAAATGATGAAGTATGTCTTACATTATATAGCGAGTGTTTCTTTAGCCTTACTTATCTCTCTGTTCTGTATCTCTACAGGTAATATGATATTTTGTGTGGGTTTCTGACCAGAGAAGAGGCCCAGGACTCTTGGCTAGACCATGGAGTCCCCTAATCACACTCATCTGGACCCTTCTGTCTTCTTTCTCCTGGGCATTCCAGGTTTGGAACAGTTTCACCTGTGGTTCTCACTCCCTGTGTGTTGCCTGGGCACAGCCACAATTGTAGGCAACATAACTATCCTGGTTGTTGTTGCCACTGAACCAGCCCTGCACAAGCCTGTGTATCTTTTCCTGTGTATGCTTTCAACCATCGACTTGGCTGCTTCCTTTTCCACTGTTCCCAAGCTTCTTGCCATCTTCTGGTGCGGAGCAGGGCACATCTCTGCATCTGCCTGCCTGGTACAAATGTTCTTCATTCATGCCTTCTGCATGATGGAGTCTACTGTGCTACTGGCCATGGCCTTTGATCGCTATGTGGCTATCTGTCACCCACTTCGCTATGTCACTATTCTCACCAACACCATCATTGCCCGCATAGGGGTGATAGCTATGATACGAGGCTCTTTGCTAATGCTCCCATGTCCCTTTCTCATTAGACGTTTGAGCTTCTGCCAAAGTCATGTGATCCCACACACATATTGTGAGCATATGGCTGTAGTGAAGTTGGCCTGCGGAGACACCAGGCCTAACCGTGTGTATGGGCTGACCGCAGCTCTGCTGGTCATTGGGGTTGACTTGTTCTGCATCAGTCTCTCCTATGCCTTCATTGCACAAGCTGTCCTTCACCTCTCATCTCAAGAAGCTCGGTCCAAGGCCCTAGGAACTTGTGGTTCCCATGTATGCGTCATCCTCATCTCTTACACACCAGCCCTCTTCTCCTTTTTCACCCATCGCTTTGGCCATAATGTTCCACTTCATATTCACATTCTTTTGGCCAATGTCTATCTGCTTTTCCCACCTGCTCTTAACCCTGTGGTATATGGAGTTAAGACCAAGGAAATTCGGGAAAGGGTTGTCAGAGTATTTCTGAGGGAACAGGCAACTGGAGTCAAGACATCTGAATGATCTAGAAATATAGAAGGGGTTTAGTCCAAAGAAAAGAAGGTTTTCAAGTTTAGGAAACCGTCAGTATTTCAGACTGGAAAGAGGTTTTAATGGACATGATATGTCTTCTGTAGAACTTTTCAGAACATTTCCAAGAATAATAAATCACATAAGAGGTCAAAGAAGTTCAGTATTCTTCTTTTCCAATCAGGAAACATGAACATGGGAAGATTTTTCCAAACTAGGTAGTCCTCAGGCATTGGAAACAACCACCTATGCCCTGAGGACTTTGCCCTGCTCTTGGTTTAGAAGAGCCTCTGGGTAGCCTTGGGGACTATCTTCACTTCTTGTCCTCTCCCAGAACACCAGGCATAGATTTATAAGCTAATACAGCAGCTATAGCTACTGTCTGGCTATCTGCAAGGATCAGAAGACCAAAAAATTACAGTTAAAGAAATCAGAGCTGCAAGAGACTTTTATAATTTTGCATGAATCCTTTGTTTTTTCACCAGAAGAGCTTGAAGCCAAGAAAAAGGAAGTGTACACAAATATTGGTGTCAATATCCATAATATTAGCTAGTGACAAAGCAATGACTTGAAACCTAAAAACCTGTAGGACCTTGTGGTCGTTCAGTTTGGGTATCAATTTGGCTAGGTCTGGTTGAGTGGCTGGGCAGCTAGATGTAGTATTCCCCATGATGAGACTGGTAGTCAACTCCATGGTGCAATCGACTGTGAGCAGCTAACTAGCTGTCTTTGGGTATATGGTCTACTTCCCATATATAAGTAGCAGCTTTGGGAACAGTCTCTAGCTTATGGCACCTTGAACCCTGCATGTAGCCGTGTCATTGCTTAGCTGCCTGCCATGTTCTGCCAACCTTGGGACTTACAATGAACTTGAATTAATGGCTTGCCGTGTGATTTGATAATATTGGGACTGCATCTTGTTACTTGTCACCCTTGGGCTTGACAGCCTCAGCACCCAGCAGCTGTCTGAGTGAAGAAAAGCCTCTAGCTTCAGTGGGCTAGGAGCTGGAGGCCGAGCTGATGCCCAAGACTGAGGGACTTTCACCTAGCCCCCAGAGCCTGGCACTTTGAACTTGGACTTAAAGCTTCCAAATTGTAAGAATAAACTCCTGTTTGTTAAGGTCATCCCATTTGTGGTATATTTTTGTCAGAGTGGCACTATGTAACCAGAACAGACCTTAACAATAGAACTTTTATGAATGAAGGTATAGCAGGGGTAAGGAATAGCTCTTCATTTCTAAACTTGGGCTGTTCATCCCAGGGCTATATTTCTGTCCTCTAGGAGCTGTGGTTGCGTAGTGCCTAAGGCACTTGACTGCTAACCAAAAGGACTGCACTCTTCAGAAGGAAGGTTGGGCAATCTACTTCTGTAGTGATACCGCCTCAGAAACCCAAGGAGGGGTCTCTATGAGTCGGATTTGACTCCACGATAGTTGTTGTGTTGCGTTTTGCATTTATCTCTAGAGGGCCAATCTAAATCCAAAAGGTCTTGGCTGCCCTACTTCTCTCAACCTTCCAACCCCTAAATGAGGCAGAAAGACAAGCATTCCCAAATATTCTTACACATTCATACAACTGAAAGGGCCATCCACAAGGCATTGACCTTTGTCTCATGACCCTATAAAGGATAATTTTTACCTGAACCAGTAAGAATGGGAAACTCTTATACATTCATTTATTAATTCATCATTTATTTAAAAGAAAAAGAAGGTCTAAGGACGAAGGTTCTTAGTCCCTGAATTTGAGTTAACCCTATGTTGTAGAAAGTTCTTAATTGTATCTGTGAAATTGGGATTGGAAATTGCTTGTTTTACATACTAAGGTTTTTATTGCTCAGAAGAATAACTTCAGAAAATTTATCTAAATGATTCTGTTAATAAATAAGCCTTTTTCATTTTGAATTTACTGATGATACACATTGCTGGAAGTTCAAACTCACCAGCCATTCCTCGGAAGGAAGGCTGGGCAATCTACTTCTGCAGTGACACTGCAACAACAACAATAACACATTGTTGGTGTGACATTCCTTCAGTATGGCACCCTGTCCTTTTAGGAGACAGGGACACACAACCCCCCACTGGAAATACACAGATTCTCCCACAATTGGTGAGTATCAGCCAGAAAACCAAAGTTCAACTTTTAAAGCTTCCACTTTCAGGAGTGTAAATATTTTGATTCAGATCATTTACATAGGTGGTATCCAGTTTATCTGGTTATCCAGTTTCCAAATAATTAAAATCCAATAAAGTATATTGAACACTGTCTATTTTTTCAAAAGAAAGATGATCAAAACACTATTCTATAGGAAAATTTTCAGTGCGTGGGATGGTATCAACTTTGATCATTCATGAAAATCCTCAAATTGAGTTATTGTTAACATATTATAAAAATTATTTACAATTCTGCACATCACAGTTCATCAACAGAATTGGTATTTTATACTCCAAAATGACCCACTTGCCCCACAAGCCCTACAACCCCAACTCTGGAATAGTTTTGTATTCAGCATCGTATGTTTCTATACTCCTGGTGTGGAGTGCTACTGGAGAAGATATCCAAACATGCACATTTGTAAGGACTATTTGCTCATAATTTATCTTCCAAATGCTGTTCTTAGTGCTACAAGTATATGCTTTTACATATTACATGGTTTGCAATAATAAGCCTCTTTAAAGTGTTTAAGAGCAAAGATGTCCCTCTGAAGGCTAAGGTGCATCTGATCCAAGCTATGTTATTTTCAATGCATGTGAGAGCTGGGCAATGAATAAGGAACATTGCAGAAGAATTGATACACATGAATTGTGGTGTTAGCAAAGAATACTGAATGTACCTTGGATTGCTAGAAAAAAAATAACAGATCTATCTTGGAGGAAGTATAGCCAGAACACTCTTTAGGAGCAAGAATGATCAAACTTCATCTCTCATACTTTTGTCATGTTGTCAGAAGGAACCAGTCACTGGAGAAGGATATTGTGCAGGGTAAAGTAGAGGGTTAGTGAAAAAGGGAAGACCCTCAATGAGATGGATTAACACAGTGGCTATGAGGGTGGGTTCAAGCATGGCAATGACTGTGAGAATGGCACAGGACCAGGAAGGGTTTCTTTATGTTGTGCTCAGGGTAGCTGTTAGTTAAAACCAACTTGATTGCCTTAACAACAATAACAACAGCAACAAGAAGCTGACATCATGCTCAACCTTCTTACACATTTCCTTCTCCTCATGCTGGTTATGCTACATTAATGTCTACTCCATAAAGAAAAAAAAAAAAAAAAAGATTGGAAGTAAATCCTTATTATTAACTTTTTGACATCTACTGTCATTCATGTCTTCTTTATTGTTTTATCCATATATTAATAATTTATGCTTCTCCTCAAATAAGGTCCTCAACATATACTCTTATTTCCAATGACTGTTGCCTCTTCAAGGAACTTAGATCATCACTCAACTTAAATGTGTTATATTAACAACCTATTTGAATCTATTAACTCTTTTACTGCAAAACTTCTCTTGACCTTAGTGGTCTACCTTTTTTTTTAATTTTTATTGTGATTTGGGTGAAAGTTTACAGAGCAAATTCATTTTCTATACATTAGTTCACATACACTTTGTCTCATGACATTAATTGTATTTTCCCCGCAATGCAACAGCTCCCTTCTCACTTCCTCCCCATAGTTATCTCTTCCCTGTGTCCTTCCCTCCATGCACTCTTTCCCCTAACCTGTCTCCCTGTGCATATACAGCCTTTCTATTCTCCCCTGAGTGATCTCTCCAAGGAGTGTATTTACCTAATGCAAATGTTCGGCTCCTATGCCTATCCTTTGTTTGCCTGGAAGCCACAGGAGTGGGTTCAATTCCAGTGGTCAACCTTTTTATGGAAGTTTCTAGAAAATATTGTTGAAACTAATTTAAAATTTGTCAAAACTAGTTAATAATTAAAATTATTACCTGAACCAATATATCCATTTACTTGTCTTATTTACTTCTTAACCCATCTCAATAACATTTTTTGCTTATGTACTCCAACAATTAATGATTATTTCTGAAAAAATCATCTGTAATCTCCATGAGGTTGAAACCATAAAAAGTATTTTAAATTTCATCTTGTTATATTTGTGAGCTGATTAATACTAAACTCTATTTCTTTGCATATTTGAAAACAACTCTGTCTTCTTCCTAAGTCTACTTTTTGTTCTCCTTTTCTGTCTCATCAACATTTACTTAGGTTTAAATGTCAGAGTTGCATAACACTTGGTTCCAGGCCCCTTGTTCTGACTGTACTCACTTGTCAAAAAATCTATTTATACCAATGGCTTGAATTAACAAATTCAAGTGAAATAATATATTGATTACTTTGAAATACTTTTTTATTTCCCTCAAATTGCTCTTTTGATCTCTGGAACTACTTTTCCATGTGCTTACTAAACAGTTTTCACTTGAATGCTTCAAAGGCCTCTCATGTTCATCATGACCTAACCAGAACTCATTTTCTACACCTCTAACAGTCCTTCTCTAATCTTCCGTAAATATGGGAATGATATTTAGAAGTGTTCTTTAGTTACAAATATCTTCAATTTTACCTCCAACCTATTTTTTAAAATCCATCTACTTCTCTTCATCTTCACTATCACTGTCTTATGTCAAGATACAGTCTTTTCTCCTTTAAATTACCACAGTAGTTGCCTATCTGATTTATTCTTATAAATTTTTACCACACTTAATCTGTTATTAACATGGCTTCTATGGTAATCCTCCTTAAAACCTTTCAGTGACTCATTATTTTAGCAAATATTTGCTTACAGTTCTTTGGGCCTTGATATCTCAGTAGTCTCATCTCAGCATAATTCCATTTTTCACCATATCTTGGAAACTCCAGCTACATTTTTCCTGTTTTAGTACTTTACATATGCCACAATCCCTCCCATTTCAGCATATACAAATTCCTAAAACCCCTGACCCTCGCCATATACCATATTTAACTTCTACTCAAACATTTGAATTCAGTATAAACTGACATTTCTTCAGGGAATCCTCCTCTATCATGAAGACTAAATCAACACCCACCCCCTTTTTTCTGCTCTTATATCTTAAAGTACTTTTACCAGTCTGTAATTTTATGTTTGCTTAATGATTTATTTAGTTTTGTACACACATACACACACACACTCACATATGCACATACCACTTCCTCCACTAGACTAGTTTCCTTGAGGTCAGGGACCATGCATGTTTTACTTACCATTTTATACCCATAGTAGGAGCTCAATAGATATTTTGAATGAAAGAATAATTTCTATCTTAAGAATGCTTAAAGAAATCTCTTAACCACAGATGTAAGATTGCTCTACATTTTGTACTAATGAACAATTCGAACACTGTAATAAAATTGTCCACACATTATATACCCATTTTGTTTTCACAAATAAAGGGACTTTTCTGCTTCTGTAAGTTCTAAGGTTATGCAATAGGAAACATAAAGTGGCCATCAAGTCACCTCTGACTCATGTCAATTCCCTGTATGTCAGAGTTGACTTGTGCTCCATAGGATTTAAATGGCTGATTTTCCAGGATTAGATTGCCAAGTCTTTCTTCCAAGGCAAATCTGGGTGGGCTTGGACCTCCAACTTTCGGGTAAGCAGCTGAAAATGTTTACCATTTGCACCACCCAGGGACTCCATGTAGGCAGTATACTTCTAAATTAATCTCTGCTCTGACCTTTTGGGATTTGACGTCTTGGAAATCGAGATTTCTCTGTGGGCCCTTCTCTCTTCAGGTCTCTGAATGAGGTCTATTGTCTTTAGATCACTGAGCTGCTTATTACTCCCATTAAATTGTGGAAGCCCACAGATTCTGTACCCTGTTCCAGCACAGAGAACACATCTTCATATCTTCATCTCAGGAAATATTACTTACTCAGGGAGTTTAGTCGTTGTCTAGTAAGAAAGTCCTGCTATTGCCAGGACCTAAAACTACAAGTGTCTGCTCATGAGCACAGTAAGTACTAAAACCTTGATGTGATCACTTTGGCTAAATCACAGAGTATTTGATGGTTCATCCTAGATTTGCCCTTATGTTGTTTTGGTATCCTGCAATAGAGATTGACCCTACCTTCTGCCATAGCAAGGAATAACAGTTTGTCTCCAGGCCCTTGCAAAGAGCAATGGAGCTAGAATTAAAAATTATCAGGGTCATATGTTACTCTAGAAGTTATCTCATCTATAAAACACTGACCATTGGTGATTTAGCCTTGGATTACCTGCAAGATTAATATAATAACTACCAAATTGTTT